CCTGTGTAATAGCTTACTTCACTATCAACCAACTACTCCGGAACTATGACAACATCCTCATAACATTCATACCGGATAGGGAGGTAAATTCTTCTTCCCACAGCTGGAAATCCTGAGGTTCACAAACGTGGACCTTTCTCCATCAATTCTAGAATAACGAGCATTGGAATAAAACCAAGACCAGCATCCAAGACTTGCACCAGTACCACTCTTCTTCTCGGAAGAAGAAACTGCATAATGTAGAGATATATTGTAATTTAATTAAAAACAAAAAACCACCAACCCACCACTTATCTCTAGTACCTTAGAGAACTCTGGCATCTGCAATGTAGTAACAAACTCAGTAGTTTACACTGGGAGCAAAATGCCTCCGTAAGTTGTGATGGCATATTCAGAAATGCACAGTATCGGACTAATTCTTCCCTTATCAAAGTGAGTGACAGCACTTAGAAAAATCCCACCTACCATGTCCTTCCTCAGTCTCATAGGCTCTAAGGAATACAGTTATCTGTGATACCACTTTCTTCCAACAATCTTTTTTAAGGGGGCAGTTGATAAAAGCCACACGAGAACACAGTATTATCCGCACACTACACTGGAAGTCATCTCTGGTACAAGCAGAGGGGAGAAGAATGGTTATTAGAAGATGGTGTTCACTATTTCCTCAAACGTTGTCACTGCATGGCTATTGCTCCTTTACAACAACATTTGCCAAGTACCATGCTTTGAAGGCATAGCTTCTATGAAGGGTGTCGGATCACGGTAAACTAAGAAGTAGCTTGAGATTACAAATTCAGCCCTTGCTATACATGAGTACTGGCATATATGACCTTCAACAATTGTCACAAGAACAGAACACACACCGCACTCTCTTCATTACAGCACTGAAAGCCCCAACTATTAGTAATTCTAATCAGCTTTGACAAAAGCTATTTTAATGCTCGGGGCAGTGAGGAAGGCACAGAATCAAAGTCTCAGAAGAATATTACTATTCAGAAAAGACGAATCTTATTGTTACAAAATAAAGCTACCATCCCTCCAATGAAGCTAGTTCAGACAGCAATACAATTACCATTAAACTTACAAATTAGAACTCCTAGTCCTTGCAGGATATGTTTGACTAAAAAAGTAAGCAAAGCACAGACCAGAAAGATGAACAAAGGTTTAGCAGGACCAGCAGTACCTCTAAAACGGAAGTTCCTCAAAGACAACTCTTACTCTTTTAATTATTTGTGTCATGCATGAGATTAAAAACAAAAAAACAAAAAAACCCCACAAGTCAGGCTTTGAAACTTACTTAGAAAAGCTGCACAATGTGGGCCTTGTATTACATCTCAAGTTTCTTCTTTAAGACCTAGCTTGCAGCAGCAAGTTAGCGTTGCTGAAATCCGAGATTTCTGTATGAGCAACTTGTGATGTTAAAATACTACGGATTCTAGTGTCTTATCTCTTCTAATTGCTGACTGGAATGGGCTCTGTTGGAAAGGAAGTAAAAGCAGGGGGTTTACATCTTTCGTGTTTGCCTCAGGCTACTAGCAGAAAAATTCAGGACTTTTTCTAAGGTATGTCAGTACCAATGATGTGTCACATGTCATTACTTTATAATTAGGCTGATAGCCAAAAAGAATAATGCAGCAGACATTCTATTAAAATAAAAAGTATTCCCCAAGGCATAAAAACACTGACACAAGCATCTTAAAAGGCAGTGTAAAAATGATATAAGGAACTATTTATCTGTGCTGCTGTCTTTTCCATCACAGATTCAAATAAGTAATTCTAAGTTATGTATGCATTGAATATTGAATCATGCTATTCTGATTTAAAAAAATATTTCATATCTGAAAGCAAAATGCAATGAAACCCTTCTTTGTCTATGAATATACAATCTACTATGAGAATAACAGGCTATCGACACTCACTCTAGATTACAATTTGATAATCCTTCTTTCTTCAACTCTTCAAATAAGTAACTCATCACAAACCAAACACGTTTTTAAAGAGCAGAAAACCAGCTTTTTTTCATCAAGAGTTTGCAATTTACTTAAAGTGCAATAATGATTCTATAACAATTCAGGCCTTAATTACTGAATTTGTAAACACCAGAACTTCATTCTGTACAGAATTTTCTCTAAAATGCTCCTGACAGAATCAGGATCCAGGAAACCCAGGATCCATGTACTTCAGAACATGGTCAGTTCAGATTGCATCTGAAAGTTAGACTGACTAGCAGAATTACCAAATTACAAAATTGTGGTTTATAGCCAAAGTAACGGTCTTCACTCAGCATGGCCAAATTTTAGTTCTTTGTTAATACAAGCAGTAAGAGATGTCCCATCTATTCCTTGCAGGTACACATACCACAAAATGTGTGCTATTCCATGTGTGGATGTTGTATGAACTACTGGAAGAAAGCTTTTCCACATTTGTGGATTTCAGCAACGTTATTGAAAATATAAGACTTCCAAATCAGTTTCCTTCTGAAGCCAGCGAATAGCACATTTACATTTTTTTCTAACAACTATTAATACTTTTCCAGTTGGCCAAAAAAAAAAAAAAAAGTCCTTCATGAAGCTGCCAGATCTAGCTCTTTTTTGTTCAGTCTGCACAGTGCTTTCATTTCCAACACAATGACAGACAGAGAAGTATTGTGTTTTCAAATGTATTAAAAGGAATCCTGTGATTTAGTTGTTGCTATTAAAGAATTGTATTCAGAGATGATATATGTTGAAGTGAAATGACTTCCACCTAACTATCCTCCTCTTATGTTCTAGACACAGAATTTATAACACATTTGATTACAGCAGTATCATACTGCAGAAAAAGGCAGGTGACTTAAAAATATTATCTATTATTTTGTTGCTTATTCCTTGAATACTGCAAAGGAAGGACTAGTTTTCTCTCTGTACGCTAACACCAGTGTGCACAATCTTAAATGATTTTTTGATTCACCATGCTACAAAAACAAGTTGACATGTACAGAAATAAATATGACAGGTAATGCTGTAGAAGGTCAGCATTCTTCAGAAGTCTAATACTCAGTGCACCACTTGCACTTTAACGACAAGAAGGGAAGGACCACTGCTACACTGGAAGACACAAACTGATATCATCCCTTTACCACTGATCTACAGAGAACTGAAAAGGTGTTTGATGTTTTGATTTGCTGAGCATACACCTGAGGTTTTGTGTCCTATCCCCGCTCCCCATTTCCAAATTTCCCCTGCATCACCAGGATTCTTGTGACTTGCCTCGGCAGTTCCATTTCAGTCTGGAGGCTGCTCAGGGGCAATATTAAATTTTGGCATGAGGTCACACTAAATGTAATGGGTCACAAGTTTGACCAGTTTCTCAGACAAAGTCACCACGGGAGAAAAGAAACGGTTTCTCTGTGTTCCCCCTCTGTGTACTAAATAAGCTGAGAAAATACTTCTTTCTCAGCATGGAAGTACATGACAAACGTGGAAAGATTCTGTTCAGAAAGATCAAAAACCTATAAAGAACCACATAAGCTTTGGTATATTGCTTTTAATACATGCAGCGTATTTTCACATATAAATTCATGCATACAATTACATTTTGAAACACACTTGTGAAGTTAATCGCAAAGTAACTCCATGTTTTTCTAGATATGCATTCTTACATAGATGGTTAACTAAAATTAAGTTCATAAATTCATTTGCTTATGTAAGAAGAGCCTAATTTTTCAAAATAGCAAATATGACCAACTAACTGAAATCAGCAATATATTTGAAAATAGGAAGAGAAAAAAGCGTGCATCAGACTTCAATCTGAGACTATTTTTTAATTTCTAGGAAAAGAACACTTACCACAGTTACTGATAATACCTCAGTTCACCTCAAAAACTAAACTGAGTACGTATCGGATGCTTTCTATCACAGTTAACTTGCAAAAAGAAAAGTCAATGCCTCTAACAAAGTAAAAATATTGATTGTTTTTTCCACCTGATAAAAACAACCACAAAGAAGCTAGAAAGCACGGTGTTCTAGGAATAGACAAGTAGTTGCATAATTACGTATTTCAGTTTGTGACACTAAAGTTATTTTTCTCCATTATTATTAGAATTTATTTTGTTATTGTTTTTTGATAAATGCAATTAAAGCTTTATAAAAAAAAATAAACATATAAACGCATCTCAGTATCCCCAGGCATTTACTGTCACTTAAATAAAAACACAGTGGCTAAATAAATAATTAAATAAATAATACTGGAGTTCAATGTCTGGAAATTTGTATATTGATGCTATTAAAATAACTACATTAGAAATCCCTCCCAGAGATAATCCCTGGAGTGTATGTGTTTGGGTTTTTTTAAGTTGTGGCAATTGCAGACAAGTAATATCTTTAATCAGTTTTTCCCCTCATGTGAAATAAGCTAATAGTTCTGACTTCCCTGCACTCTGAAAATCTCTGCCCAGAGACAGAAATACAAAATATTGTATTATACAGTTAACACTTAGCTTTAAAATATATTAATTCATTTTACAAATAGATTTTACAAGTGAACACTTGAACTCAAAACTTGTTCCCGTCTCTGGCACATCACCACCATCACATATCATATGTATCAATGCAGAAAGTGAATGAAATAGATCAAGTATTTCAAATTGAAAACCAACTGTTTCTGAACATGATGCAAAGTTGACATGTGTGTATTTTACCATTTAAAACAACAGATCCAGTCATTTCTCAAAACAGGAGTCACTAGTAGTACCTAGGATATAGATCTACTTTGCACATGCTATTTAAAGGGCATTTGGCAGCACAAACGTCAACAGACACAAAACATTCCAAATTAGCGGCAGGTGATCGTGTTCTGAAATCAGACTGCTCCACTCAATGTAAAGCACAGCAGCAGCATCTATTCATGAAACTGGAGAGAAACAGCAAAAACAATGACCTCACTTGCTAGGCAAAAGATTCCAGGACTTCTTCATTTCCTGAAGTCCCTTCCTCAGCTTTTGAAAAAACACAAGGGCTTACCTTTCTGTACACCAGCATGTTTGGGGATTCATCAGCCACCCCGTTGCTGCTTTGCCCATAATTATTTCCTTGTGCCATGTCCCACAAATTTGATCCGCTTCTGAAACGTTGCACTGTAAAAGGTAAAAGTGGCTTCAGTAAGACATGGCCTCAGGTCTCCTTCCTTCCCTGATGATTAATGGACCTGACTTTCTACCAACATGTTATCAGAATCAGCATATGCTCTTACTCTAACAGACATTTACATTGGAGCAAAGCTGCTAATTCACCATTTACTGTCATTACTCTCTTTTGCCTGTAAAGAATGAATGTAATATGTTAATCTAATTTAGACGTTAATGAATTGTCACTCCGAATAGCTCCCTGACATACCACTAACCACCATATCATGCAGACGCCTCCTCACAAAGCGCTCCTCCCTCCCCTGCACAGGCTTCACCAAGGGATACTCCGCACCTTCCCGACCACAGTTTTGGGAAGAGC